GGGGCGTTGGACCCCCGCCGAGGTCCTGCCCCTTTCCCTAACCCCGGGCCTAACCCAGGGATTTCTCAACCGAGAGTTCGAAGCCCCCGAACACGGGTCGAGCTGGTGCGTGTGAACCTGGCGCGGGTGGGTGGGGGGGATTGACCCCAGGTGAGTCCGCTTTTCGTGGGGCTTCTCCAAGCAGCCCGGTGCTACAGAGCAGGGGGGGAGGAAGGGGGGGAGTGGTGATTCATAAGGTCTGTCGGCCAGCCGGTCTCTTCTTCTCCCTGTCTTGGGCAATGTTCCCTCTAAGCTTTGGAGTCTTGTGAGCAAAAATTCCACTTTGTGAGCTACTGGCATTAAAGCTGTGAGCGAGCGATTTGGCTGCTGTATAAATTAAGTTTGCTCTGAAGCCATCCCTTTCCAGAGCTAGGACAAAAATGTGTGAGCCAGAGGCTAAAAAACTGTGAGCTAGCTCACACTGACTCAGCTTAGAGGGAACACTGGTCTTGGGGCCAGCCCACCTGACACCCAGCGTGGGGAGGGGGGGGAGGGCTGGCCTGCCCCTGGGTTCAGCTTCTCGGTGGGTTGCAGGGAAAATAGGGTCGCTTGGCCGGCACCCCGCCTGGAGGAGGGTTTAGCCTGGGTCAGCCACAGTTTCTGTGCACGGAGCTCAGTCAGTCAGCCCTGGGCTTGGACCAGTCGCCCAGTGCCCACCCTGTGCCCTCTGTGCCCGGCCCTTGCCTCCTTGGCGTTGCCCTTAGAGGGGCTGGCATCAGTGTTCCCTCTAAGCCGAGTTGGTGTGCGCCAGCTCACAATTTTTTAGCCTCTGGCTCACACATTTTCGTCTTAGCTCAGGAAGGATGGCTCCAGAGTAACCTAATTGATGCAGCAGCCAAATCACTTGCTCACAACTTTGATGCCAGTCGCTCACAAAGTAGAATTTTTGCTCACAAGCTTAGAGGGAGCATTGGTTGGCGTGCCCAGTGGATCCTTGTCTCAGAAAAGTGGGGGGGGGGTGTAGAACGGAACCCCCCCACCCCCCATTTCTCTCTCCTTTTTTTTTTTTGGCCCCCAAATCACAACTGATTCCAGAGACCTCTGGCGGGGTTTTCAAGGCGAGAGACGTCCGGAGGGGGTTGGCCGTTTCCTGCCTCTGCATAGTGGTCTCCCGGCCCGAGCCTGCGTAGCTTCCGTGCTCTGATGAGATCGGGTTCACCTGGGGCCATCCGGGTCAGGGGAAGGGTGGATTCCACCTTTATGGGTAACGTCCCGTCCCTAGAATAACCCGGCCAACCTAAACTGAGCGGCACCCTTTTGAGCCCATTGACGTCTGCCTAGGGTGGCCCTGTTGGGCCAGGCCGCTGCAGAAACAGGGGTTCAGTTGAGCCCCACAATGCCCCTGTGCCCAGCCCAGCATCAGGGTATAGCTGTAAATAATCCTGAAGACCGGTGTTCCCTCTAAGCTGAAGTTAATGTGACCCTCCTTGGCACCTGCTCACACCGTTTTGCCTTCGCTCAGGACGGATGGCTCCAGAGCAAACGTAATGTATGCAGCAGCCAGATTGCTTGCTCATGAACGCCAGTAGCTCACAAAGTAGAATTTTTGCTCACAGGACTCCACAGCTTAGAGGGAGCGTTGCTGAAGGCCCCTTAAAAATTCTACCCCTTTCTGCCAGGTCGAGGGTCCCAAAAGATGGGCTCTACCCAAACCTCCGTGGAGTTCCAGAGCTTGTGCAGGATTGAGGGGTGGGGAGCCCTTGCGTGGCCGGTTTAAAGTACGACTCTCTGGGTAGAAACCGGTGGCCACCCAGGGTCTGGTAACCCTGTCCTTAAATGCTGGGCGTCCCCAGCACTGGGGATCCAATGTGCACACGCCTCCCGGCCCCCCCAAAACATACTGCAGCTTTCTAAGGGCTGGGTTGAGCGCAGTGCAGTGATCCGTTCTTCCAGTCCGGCTGCGTCGGGCTCCGAAAGCCCTGCCAAAATCCCCTTGTTGCAACCGAACTCTCTTTCCTGCTCGGTGATTGCATCTTGGCACCGATCTGGAGGTATTTTGACTCTGGAGAGAAGGTGGCGGCGACAGAGGAGTCGGTGGAAGAAAACCAGTCAGGGTCACTAGGAAAGGGAAGGGGGGGTTTCTCTTGGGCCAGTGGGCATCTCGGGACAAAGCCCGCCTCCCTCTTCCATCAGCCTCTGAAGGGTCCTCTTCACGGTGATTCAGCAATACGGGTTTGGAACGCATAGGGGAGAATCTGTAGTGCCTTTAGTGGGAGAGGGGCTGGCGCACAGCTGTGTCCACAATCAGTGTTCCCTCTAAGCTGAGTTAGTGTGAGCTAGCTCACAGTTTTTTAGCCTTTGGCTCACACATTTTTGTCTTAGCTCAGGGAGGATGGCTCCAGATTAAACTAATTTATGCAGCAACCAAATCGCTCGCTCACAGCTTTAATGCCAGTAGCTCACAAAGCGGGATTCTTGCTCACAAGACTGCACAGCTTAGAGGGAACATTGGTCCACGTCCCTCCCTCCTTTTAAAAAACATCTGGCTGGGTCGATGCCCCGGGAGCAGAGATAATATCAGTATTAAGGTTTGTGGAACATCCGTGGCTGAGGAAAGAGAGGAACTGGTGTTTCCCAGCGGAGGGAGGAATGTATCCGGGTGATATTGGGGAAGGAGTTGATCCTGGCAGTGTTTGGTTGTTTTTTCCCCCCATAAAGGTACTTCAGGAAGGCGCAAACAGTCATCCAGGCGCATGCACGTTTGGTACAGCCAGCACAGCTGAGTTCTACATTTGCATGTGTGGGGGTCCCTTGCTTTCTCTGGGGAGCCTGAAGATCATTTTGGTTCCCGACCTGGTGAATCAGAAGCAGGGTTATAGTCTGTGGGTGTGAACGCCCGGAGGAAGCTTGCCTGCCAAGCTGTTGAACCCAGGTCGCCCTCCACCTGTGGGTTCAGCGCCACGCCTGGCTGAGATGGCTTTCTCCAGGTGAGCGTTATGAGGCGGAGGGAAGCATTCACCTTTTCCTCTCCAGCTGGTTTTCTTGTGGGAGAAAGCCACCCTTGCGTTGCTTTTGCCTTGCATGAGCCAGTTTGGTGTAGTGGTTAAGTGTGTGGCCTCTGATCCGGGAGAACCGGGTTTGATTCCCCACTCCTCCACTTGCAGATGCTGGATAACCTTGGGCAAGCCGTAGTTCTGTCAGAGCGGTTCTCTCAAGGACAGTTCTGGAAAGAGCTCTCTCAGCCCCACCTACCTCACAGGGTGTCTGTTGTGGGGAGGGGAAGGGCAAGGAGTTTGTAAGCCGCTCTGAGACTCCGAGCGAAGGGCGGTGTATAAATCCAATCTCCTCTCCTCTTCTTCTTTTTTAAACCCCTTACAGCTGAAAAATATGAGGTACGTTTTCCCCATCAGGAACAAAAGCGGTAGTTAAATTTATAGTATCGCTTAGGGAAAAGATAACTCTTTCTCTTATCAGAGATTAGATTGATTTTCTGTATGCAGTAGATAAGGATGAGTTGATGACTTTTGGCTTCTTTCAATAAGATATTTTCTTAAGGGGAAATCAAGAGAGAGAGAGCTTGTTGTTTATATATAAGCAAGGAAAACGTAGTAAGCAAAGTTATATTTGTTGTACAGAAAATCGAAAACCTTTTTTATGTTCCCCTTCACTTAATTTTTTTCCTTCTTCTACTTTCTTTCCCCTTTTTAATTAACTTCTCCTCTTCGCAGATCTTCGTCCTTTATGTTGTATGGTTTTAAGTTTTTCTTTCTGCATGCTGCCTAGTTTTAATTCTGTAGTAAAATTTAAATTCTCACTGTAAAAAAAGAAAAGGAACAAAAGCAAAAGCGGCTTTTTACAGCACGAAGACGGGGAAGAGGGTAACCCAGGCGAAGAGGTGGTTGGAACACCTTTCCTATGAAGAACGGCCGAAAAGTCGGGGTGGTGGTGGTGTTCCAGTTTAGAAAAAAAGATTACTTGGAGGAGGGGGGAAATGGGCAGATAACTTTGTCTGCCAAGATACTAGAACTTGAGGGCATCCAGTGAAGCCGAAGGGGAGTAGATTCGGGATGGACAGTGTTCCCTCTAAGCTGAGTTAGTGTGAGCTAGCTCACAATTTTTTAGCCTCCGGCTCACACATTTTTGTCTTCGCTCAGGAAGGGATGGCTCCCGAGCAAACTAATTGATGCAGCAGCCAAATGGCTCGCTCACAACTTTAATGCCAGTCGCTCACAAAGTAGAATTTTTGCTCACAAGACTCCACAGCTTAGAGGGAACATTAAACAGCAGATTCGTTTTCCTTACTCAGTGAGTGACTCTGTAATGGCATTTGATGCCAGAGGATGAAAGTTGTTTTGTTTTTACCATCAAGTTGCAGCTAACTTCTGGCAACCGCTCAAGGGGTTTCCAAGGCAATTGATATTCAGAGGTGGTTTTGCCGTCGTCTCCCTCTGTGTTGCAACCCTGGACGTCCTTGGTGGTCTCTCATCCAAATACTAACCAGGGCCGACCCTGCTTAGCTTCTAAAGTTTGACAAGATTGGGGGTAGCCTGAGCTATCCAGGTCACGGTGGCCACAAGCATAAATTGCTTGGAAAGGGGGTTAGACAGATTCATGGCGGATAGTCATCAGTCAGTGGCTACAAGCCATGGTGATGGAGGGGAACC